CTTTCAGATCATAACCTTCTTCAATTTTGTTCATTAGCAGATTGGTTCGGTATGTTCTCTTTATTGTTGCAATGACTCCTTGGTCCATGGGTTGGATTAGCGCAGTAACGTTTGGGAGGAGAAACTTTGCAAAAATTTGTCCATCAGAAGACTTTAGCACGCTTGTTGCTGGGTGAGAAGGTGCATTGTCGATCAATAGCACAGCTTTTTCAGGCAGGTTTTTCGATTTAAGATGTTTATGCACTTGAAGAACAAAGATTTTTTGAACCATTCTTGAAAAATGTTTCGGTTCATCCATCTTTTTTTTTTTGGTTAAAGTAATCAACGGGCAAATTTTCTATCTTTCAACGGGCCTTTGTAAAATCTCGTTTTTTTTTACTTTCCAATGACAACAAGTCTAAGTTTATATTCACCGGTAGTGTTACTGCAAGACATGATAGTGATCCTTTCCTTACTGCTTTTATGACCCGCCGCTTTACTTTCACTTTCAAATGCTAAAGTGCGAGTGGGAAGACATTTCCACAAAAGTCCCGATTCGTCGGAATTGTAAATTTGTTCAAAAGATATCTCTTCATTTAAAACAAATTCTTCAAATTCATGGTGGAAATTGTCGGTTTCTTGTTGGTTACCACTGAGTTTCTCCCCATGAAGTCCAATTTCTCGAATTCCAAGATTAAGATGAGAGAGGGCAGTGGAGCGGACACTGCAAGGGTGAGTAAGAAATCAGTTACTATCAGAGGGGAAGGTTCTGAGAAGGCATGGAATATTTTTGCTATAAATGAGCACGATGTTAGCAAATTTAACATTTTGCTCAGTTTTGTGAATTTGTGAACATTTTTATTTTCTTTGCTTTATGCTTGGGGGAGGAAAAAAAAACCACTTTGTGTGGTAGGCGCGGATAATCAGCCCGCAAATAATCGGGAGTCTACTGTATTACGCGCATGTGTAAAATCATATTCGCATGCGTGAATGCATTATGCGTTGGCGCATGCGCAGAAAGTTTTTAGCTTTGAGGTCCAGATTATAGATCATTCCGGATTATGGGCGTCTGAATTAACGACATTTGACTGATATATATATATATATATATATTCAGAAGAATGGTAATAATTGAAAATTTATTATCTCCAGTAATACATTTTTGTGATATGTTCTTTTACTTTAAAAAAGTAAAGAATAATAATCAGATTGCTCATGAAATTTGTGTTGTATATGTACAAAGGACTGTTTCTGATGATAGAATTTGAAGGTAGTTTGAGAATTTTAAAGTATGACAGTTTCAGCTTTGAAGATAATACCCACCTGGCTGACCATCCTTTGTAAACAAGTACTATTAAAAAAAGCTATTGCTGAAAATTCATGTTGTTCTTAGAGCTATCAAACAGTCTAAATATTCCAATCAGTACAGTGCATGATCAGTTGAAGAAATTTGGGTGTGCAGGCTTCTACGATGTATGGGTACCCCATAACATTAACAGAGCAGGAAATGTTTGCTTGAGTTCCGGCATAGGAGAGAGTTTGCTAGAGTTCTGGTGTAGGAGAGAGTTTGCTAGAGTTTCGGTATTATTTGCTGGGGAGGGGGGGGGAAGCTCCTTTTTTGAAATGGCTCATTACTGGAGATAATAAGTGATTACTATACATGGCCATGGGATAAACCAAAAAACCTTCTTTAGTAACATCAAAATGACTATAGTACCTGCCATTTATTAAAATTGCTTCTGTTTCAAATGAATTTGAGTTTATTAAGTGGCTGAATTTAATAGATGGTGATCTGTATACTGCAAAGTTTTTAGTTTGCTACCCCGTTTCAAAAGAAAATCAGTAGAAATGCTACTTATCATTCATAAGTTCTTGTTACTATGTATGTCACAAGTAAATTCTTGATTCTTTTCAAGCTTTCAGGTGTTCTGCCTTTGTTAATAACCAGTTATGTCTTTTTAATTGTTAAGTGTAGACTGCACATTATTTATGAATTTCGTGTGGCTTGTATTCTTTTAGCAGCTCAAGTAACACGTCTTTTATCCAATTATTAGCTGCTTGATGATCTGCCTTTTTTCTTCCTACCATTACAGCCTGGTATTCTTGTTTTCCATTGTAGATCAAAGGAAAATCAATTATTTTCATTTCTAGATCAGTAGAATTTTTATTTAACACATTTGCAACTGTTGCAATATTTTGAAAATATTAGCATCAACAAATATATTGGAAATGAACAAAGCAATGGGCTAAATTCATAAAAATCAGAAAATCTTAATTTCAAAATTATTTTTAAGGCTAGTTATACTTCTTAGTAACTCAGTAATAGTTTCTCTGTACTCTGAAGCTCATTATTTAGTTTATTCGTTTTGGTTGTTATGTTTCTAAGAAAGTCTAAATTAGGTTTTTCTGAAAGAAGCAGTAAAAATCATTGTAGAACATTTCCCTTGTTAAGCCATTTAATTTCAGAATATAATATTAAACTTCTATACTCGACATAAAGTTCAGCAATCACTACTTTAAACAATCTATTCTGAAATGGTGTGGCAGAAATAGAATTTACAATTTTCAGAACAATTTGCACATATTCTTAGCATAAAACTTTTGTACATAATGCCTGCTGATGTGTGATGCAATAGTAGTGAATATATTTGGAAAAATCAGCATTGTTCTTAAATAAAGTGATAAAAGCAACAGCAGAACCAATCATGGTAGGTGTATTTTATATGGTTTTTAATAGCTTGGTATGTGTCCACTCTGCATGAATTGCCATTAGAGGCTCTTCCCTCATTGAGCAATCGTTGAAGTAGCAATTATAGCAACCTACATTTTGTTTGCGATATTGGTAAACATTGATTGTTGGGTAATGAATGTGCTTTTAAATTCTTTCCCTATACATTTCTTAGGTTGTCCTTAGAAAGCTATTCAGTATCATATATTTTACGAACTGTTGTAAAATGTTGGTTTTCATTGGTAAATGTTCTATGTTGGTTTTTTTCCCTCTAAAGAAACTGCTTAACCACAAATCAAGTAAATATATTTGTTCTTAAAAATTAATGAATAAATATTTCTCTTCCATTCATCATTAAAATTATAATTGTAAGCACATTTTTTTCTTTTCTTTTCTTTTTTTTTTTTTTTTTTTGTGTGTGTGGCTCACATGATGACACAATTAGGATAACTACAAAAGAATTCATATTTATTAAGACTAATGATTACCAGAGATGAAGTGAATATTGTTTATACCTGTAAGAAACCACCAAATCAGCTACTTCTCGCACAGTCTCGAAAATTTTGTTCTGTGTTTGCTGGTATGTTTTTCATGTAGATTACAGGAAGCGTCTAATGCTGGTGCTGTAAAATAACTAGACTTTGCATGGCAGAGGTACTCGTATGGATGAGAAAATAAAAATGCAGCATTCAGTTCATTCTGAGGCAAACCACCATGATGTCAATGATGATGTGTGGAATATTGAGAGCAATGTTGCTGTGCAATGTCTAGTGTAAAATAACATGACGGTTGTGCCTTTGACTTTGTGGTGTAGTTGGCATTTAACTTGTCCCTCTAGGCATTTGACTTTGCAAAACTGAGAAGGGACCAGATGTGCAATGCAAGCTGCAGGTTAGGCATGTGTTCTCTGGGGGCTTGTTTTTGCAAAGCTTAAGGTAGGACAATTCTGCTCCTCTGAAGTCCTAAACAGTGTTTCAAATATAGGAACCAGAGGATAGGAAAATTTTGGTTAATTTAAGCACCATACCTGAACAATAAAGCTGTTTATCCACAATGTATCAAATGGATGAACTACAAAAGCCTTTGATAGGCATAAGTAGGATGTTTTGGCACTAAAGAATCAGTCTTTGGCAATCTGAGTTTAATAATTGGCAAAGATGAGTGTATTAAAAGGCTGTTTTTCTGTTGATTAGTATTTATTTATTTCGGTTCCGGGAAATTTGAACTTAATAAGCAGCTGAGTTCAATAATCAGCAGCTATTTTACTATGAATTGTTCTCACCAAATCAGATAATTAATCTGGAAAAATACTGTTCCCAAATGGTAGTTTTAAAAGCAAAAATTGAAGCAAAGTGCCGAGAACTGACCAGTCATCAAGGTGTTATCCGTCATGCCGATGTTCTATTCCACATTTCAGTGAATGTTGGACAAACATTTATTGAGTTGATGGGATGTTGATATCGCCTCCATTTTCACCAGAGCTTGCCCCTTCAGAGTTTTATTTCTTCGAGTCACTTCAAAATTCTCTGAATAACCTGGAGTTCACCTATTTGGAGACTGCCCAACAGTATCTTAATAACTTTATGAATAAACTTAATGATGACTTTAAATGAACTAAATTATGAATAAGCGGATAATAAATTTTTTAAATTGAGTATGTCTTTTTAAAAAAAGAATTTCCCAGTTGCAGGAGAAATGGCAAAAAGTCTTTTAATAAAATGGTGCTTATATGATTCAGTGGAAGTATATGGTTTCATTTCTGTTTATCATAAAAAACTACTACTGAACTTTCTGGTTGACCCAATATATATGTATTTCGTATTTATGCTTTTGTATACAATTTTTTATTTATTTAATTTTTTGGGGGTCAAGTAAGTTTACAATTCCTATTACAATGTGAATTTAAATTTTCTACATTTGAATATTGAAATAGTTAACAAAACATCTATTAAATAAAGTTACTATTTGGAGTTCTGTATTTTTATATTGCAGCAATATCCAGTTAAAAATACTCAAGAGTACTAAAATTAAGTAATTTTTCATACTATATAATTATTTAAAATAATGTAGTGTAACTTATACAATCATATAAGTTATTGCATTGAATTAAATGTTAATTTTCCATTACAGAGAGTTCATTTTAATCCGTGTGTGAAAGCTTCATTATTGTTGATGAAATATTTATTTTATATTTTGTAAATTGTATGATAAATTATATATATAAAATGAAATACAGATGAGTCAAAGTTTCTAATATTTTAAATGTTAATTTTTTTAAATCTTTTTATTACAGGAATGAATTACAGTCTAAGGACTTCTTTATGAGACTTGGTATACTTCAGCAACATGCAAAAAATTTTATTTTAATCAGTTAATATTTGGAAGTTGCAGAAAATTTTCTTGCAGTTTCAACAAGCATTTCTTCCTGCTGTATTCACATATTAAGCATTTTTTATGTTTGGATCAACAAGTTTATCAAGAATTAACTGACCAAAAAGATGTTGAATGTCAGCTTCTCTGTTCGATGACTTTTGGAAGAATTTTGGAGATTGAGGTGCACACTTTTTTATGTACATTCAAATTGTGCTAGAATTAATCCCAAGATTTACAAAAAGCCCATTTTTGATGGATTTCAAAATCTTCATGAAGATAAACATGCTGGGGGAAATGAATCCTGTCTACTGAAATGTATTTTAGTCTTAATGATACTAATAATAAGCAAAATATGAAGTATGAAACAGAAAATCCTAAACAAATTCATTATTGACCTCTGTATACACCAAGCAGATGTATGATATAACTGCCATAATGTCATACCATACTTTAAGGCAGTGTATAAAATGACATGACCTACTGAATGTAATAAACAGATTTTGGAATGACCGTCTTGTATTCAGTACTTACTTTTATGTCTGAGTATAAACCTTGCTTTTTCAAAGAGTTAAAAAGAAAGGAGGATTACAGAGGACCGCTTTTTGAGATCCCATTTGGCCCAATGTGGAATAATAGGCTTTCAGTAAGACAGAACCATAATACAAAATCCCTAGTTTTGCGATTTAAATTAAAGTCTTCAATATACTTAAATCTGTCTACAATCAATTTTTTTAGAGCTACATTAAAAGAGAAGTCTACATTAATCAACCAGATATTAAAAACATTTAAAAGGGATTATCAAAGAAAGGATGAACAACTCATCTGTAGTTTTGGACAGATCAAGTGGTAGTGCTCTGTCCAGAAAGAAAAGATGGAAGCATCCAATTATGTAAACATTAAGAGGCAAGATTTTCCACAAAGAAAGGGAAGAAACTGAGCAAATTTTTTTTTGGGGGTGTAAAATTCTGAGATGCATTCGGTTTTCAATTTTTTTATGTAATGTAGAATTCAATCTTTAAATTTGAATCATAAACATAATTTTACTGCTGTAGTAGTACAGAAAAGTCAGCTGCTACTTACTAACATAATAAAAATGTGTATGCAGATTTTGATATTTTCCTTTTAGAAATTGATTGTTTCGGAAAATTTTATTTCTCTCCATTACTACGTTGTTTAACTAAGTATTAAAAATAAAGAAGGCAAGCATTGTAGCATGTATAAAAAGGCTCTTCATGTTTATTTTTTCTGAAAGGGTTCTGCAAATCATTATTCAGGCAGATTAGTAAAGATAAGAACTATTTTTAAACAGCTAAAATATCAGTTGAAAAATAAAAAAATTATAACAAGAAACTTGCTGTTATAAATTGGTACTTCCATTTTATGGTGGCCTAAGTGCATTTAACACATCTTTGCTTTGGAGAGAAATGAAAGGTTACTAATTTGCATGTTTATCTAAGGTTTATGTCTCTTCAGCCAATGAAAATTTTTCTTAAAATCTAACAGCTCGCTATTATTAAGTATTTATGATGAAGAATTGTTACTATATACTGTTTACTATTTTCAATCTGTCATCAATAGAAAAGGAAAATTATGGAAAATTATGCTTATGGGGATCAATGAAAAAGTGAAACAAAAAACAAAGGTTTATGTCTTTCTATCAGCTAGAGTCATACTAAGTAGAATTCATGTTCAGGCATTGCATTATCTGTGATAATGTGTTTTACACATTATTATCAGAAAGTGTGTATAAAAAATAACATTTTGGTTATATTTATAGATGTTAAGTAAATTGTTTGGAAAATTGCATTAAATAAAAGAAAAAATATAAGTTTATGTTAAATTACTTCTGTATGTATTTGTTTCCAGCAATGTATGAAATGTCGGCATTCTATTGAATAGCTATGCATTTTATAGAATGCCTAGCAATTTAAAGCACAGTGTGAAATATGAGAATCATTATATACTTTCCCTAGGCTTTATGTATAATACCTATATAGTCTTGAGGATGACAAATGTTATTTAAACAAAATGTGTTAAAAGCTCTTCCCCCCTGCTGCCTAGGCATACAAATGTAGATGTACAGTTTAATAGCATGACGTGTAAAGTTTTTCTATTTGATTGAAAGTTTTTTCAACATTCTATTATGTCCTTCTTATCCAGCAGTCAGATGAGCTTCATGAAGTATGTGAAATAACTTAGAGTCTGTGACATAATAATACTGTTGCCTTCTTTAACAGGATAAATAAGCTTATTTTATCCTCTCACAAACATAACATCATAGTGATTCAGCAACCAATAGTCCCAGCATTTCTTCTTAGTAGTCATTTTGGGTATTTTTAAATCATTCATTGACTTCTGATAAGTAGTTTCGGTTAAGAATAAACTGCCATTTTTAGCATGATCTCAAAATTGGACAGTTCATCATCGAATTGTTGTTGCATGTCTGTTGACCATGACTTCTCCAACATAGTATCTTGCTATTCCATTTTCATGCAGAACAGCATAAAATTAATTTTTTGTTGAGCAGATTTAAGTAAAATTCTGTATTTTGGCACTTTCGAAAACAGCGCAAAGTGTAAATGGTAAATTCATCACCTGGTAAATGGTAAATTCATCACCATGTTAAAAGTCACATGGTGTTCAAAGCGAATCAGACATGTATTTAATGATTTACCAGTTTTCATTTGGTATCTAGATTGCTAAGGAAATGTGTGAAGTGTTAGTCATTTCATGCATTGCCAACCAGTTTTTGCATTTTATAGAATACTGGCCTTCATGCATTGTCAACAACATTTGTATTAAATAAATTGTGCTGCATGGGCAGTAAATGAATTACCAAATTTACATTGGTCATCGTTTAGTGAATTTCATTTTTGTGGCTGTTTTATAACATTTGCCAACAAATTAAAATTTTTTAAAACCAAATTGTGCCAGCACCATTTTCTGTCAGCAAACTATGAGAAGGAAATATCAGTAAATATATTTCGATAAAAACGGGCCATCGTAAAATGTAAAATTACACCTCCTCAAGAAGATCTTTGCCATCTGCCATCATAACAAGTTTGGTATGAAATCAGTACCAATTTAATTAATTAAATTTTTATTTTATTTATTTTCCCCTAATTTTACAGTGACAATAAGTATTTTTTATGTAGTTTTGTCTTATTAATTCACTCTTCATTAAGTGCTGTGAAAAGTTTTAAGTATATTAAATATACTGAGTGTAATGTTTCACTGGTAATAATTAATAAATTGTGTATATATCGTATCACTGTAAATGGTGTGGCAAAAAATTTAGACAGAAAGAACATTTGAAAGGTCATGTTTTCATGGTACATATGAAAAATTAGTTCCAGCTCTTTTGTGCATTTTTATTTAAAATTGTATAAGATTTGTGATGTATTCTACTGTTATTTAGCTCAAAATCACAAACACTATTGCTTATTCTTACACTGTAATGTGCGCATAGAAGTGAGTAGTAGATTGTTATTTTAAACTGAAATAATTTTAAGAGAATAGTTGCTATTGTGATGCTTTCAGTGTTAAAATCTTCTTTACTTTGATACAAGAAAATTACAGTAAAAGCTAAAAGTTACACAGCTACTGATTTTGAAATATGATCTTAATTGAAGGTAACAAGAACTTCTGCTTGCTCTCAAAGATATGTGAAAAGAAACGGAATGATCTATCTTTACGGTATAGCTAATTCCTTTTTAGCATCTCTAGTATGAACTACTTTTGAAAAGGAACAGGAATTTGTATTGTAAATTTGAAGCAATGTTCACATAGTGGTATTACTAATGTTTATAATGGCAACACTGACCTTGTAGCAGTATGATAAATGCTTAATAAATTATTCTGAATATAGTCTCAAACTATAGTCTATTAAAATAGGTAGAAGATGTCAATTTTAAAACCCCTTTTTAGTGTTTAATATTGTAAGAGGGTAATTCTTGTTAAAATCTTTTGAGATGTTTTTTATGTATACATATATATAATTATTATTCATTTCCATGTCTAAAATGTGCACATAACAATATTTGTGAATGAATTTTTTGCTTATGTCAAACTGCATTGGAATTTCATATGATTGATTTGTTATTTTTTATAATGATATTTCTACCTTTTCTCAGGTAGAGATTATGGCAATGTGGATGTATGTCAAGCTTTGTTTATCTCTGACAAGTCATTACCAGGAACTATTCAAAGACATCATTGTTTAATATGCAAATATTCCTCAGAGAAGGTAACTAATTTACGACGACATGTATTAATTCATACAGGTGAAAAGCCGTATCACTGTAAATGGTGTGGCAAAAAATTTAGACAGAAAGAACATTTGAAAGGTCATGTTTTCATGGTACATTCCATGAAATTTAAAATTTAAAAGAATTCTTAGAAAATGAAGCATCTTTTTCTCCCTATTTATGTTATTATCGCCTATATGTGTATTTTAGTTTTTTATGTAATGCATATAAAATTATATTTTATTCATGTTCATATAATAAAATATGTTTCATATTTCAATTTTGTCATCTTTCCAGATCTTGCAGGCACTGTCATAATAGCATGTAAAATTATCTTTTCCTCTATAATATAATTTGTAATAATTTTTCAAATTTTTAGTATAATATGTTTAATTTATCAACACACACATTGAATAAATAATATATAAACATATGGGGATAGCAATGGAAATATGATTTTCTTTAAAGATTTCATTTTCTTTATTTATGAAAATGGATCCTTGCAATGAAATCTTACTAATGCAGTGGCATTTCGACATTCTGTTTTAGCTGATGTATGCAAAAACTTAATTCATGTTTATTATCACTTCTTTAATAAAATATATCTTTTTTGTTGTGTAATTTTTATGCAATATATAGTATATCTTTATTTCTCAATGAAATAATTTAATTGTTACTGGCATAAAAAGAATAAAATTGCATATTTATCTGAATGTGTAGAAATTATTTTTGCCTTTTATTTTACCAAGTTTTGTAGTAAAATGCTTTTGTTCAGCTTATCTATTTTTTAATAATTAATCTTTGTTAATTTTTTTTATTTGACTATCTTTCAATCTAGCCTATCCTGCTTAATTCATTTATTTATTGGTATTTTGTTTCTATTACGTTTACTTTTAAGAGGCCAATGAATTGTTTCATTTTTGTGATTCATGAAAAGTTACTGGAACAAATCTGTTCTCCCCTCCAAAAAAGGTTTATTAGGGGGACAAAAATCTGAAACCTTTCAGATTTTATATTACATCCAAAGGGCATTTTTTTCTTTGGAGGATTCAAAACAGGATTTGAAAAGTGATGCAGACATTCAAAGTCGTTTGACGCAAAATATTATTAGACATTGTATCATCTTTGTGTTGCTAAATTACCAACATAATATCAGTAAGAAATGTAAAGAAGCCTCATGCATAAAATATCCATGCTTGAAGATGCATGCAATGTTAATGTTAATGGAATGTTTTGAAATCATTAAGTTTGTTAATATAAAATTTGTGAAAGTTTTACAAAATATGAAATAGGTGATAAAAAATTCCAAATTTGGGTTTCCAGATGCCATATTTAAGTAGAGGACTACGTTATTCACAATTCGATGTCTTTAGGTACCATTGTTTTTTTCACAGTGCGAGAAACATACATACATTCATGCAGATTCTTCAATATTAATTTATATCAATAATATTTTGACTTGATGTTGCCTGTTATTTACTGTTTTGCTCATTTTAGCTTTTTGAGTTTGTTGTCAAAATTGGATAAAAAATTCATTTTGTAGGCTTAAGATTTAAACCACTTTAAGCCAAGATACAGTTTATAAATGGTACGATATTCATTTTCCTTTTTACTTGGTATATAATGAAGGAGTCTTTTCTAAGACATGGTAAGTAAAAATTTAGCTGTTATGTATTTTCCTACTGTAAATTGGTCTGCGTGTAAAGTAACTGAAGTATTTTGTTAGTTGAGTTGCTGTTAAAGTATTTTGTTAAAGTTTTATATTATGTTAAAGGTAGTTAGCAGAATGAGACGTTTGGTAAATTAATAATAAATTTCACTGTAGTTCTTAAACATCATATCACTGTAGTGCGGCCATGGAGATTATTGACATAAATCATACATAAATTGATTTTAATTAAATATAATCAGTCTGATAATTTATTTACTACATAAGATGTGCTATAAAATGTAGATAATGTAGAAATATAGATTAAGTGTTAAAATATGTGGTTATAAATTATTTCATTTACATGAATTTTGCAAAATGCATATCAGTTGTTATTCTCTGAAATTGGAGTTTTTATTTTATAAATATAATTTTATTCATGTTATTTTGTTGTAGCGTCTAATTTTTCCTATTTATAAATTGTTTCACCTTTTATAAAATTTTTCTGCTGAATTGCCTGAATGTATTGAAGTTTCAGTGCTGTATTTTAGTTTACCTAATAATACTCACTATACGTCATACACGTTTCAAGTCTGTGTAAACTTGTACTTCATCTCCATATGTGGCCTTTAAATAGAAAATAAAATAAAATAAATAAATAAAAAATTGGCCTTTCAATAACTATTTAACCGTCTGAGTAGCATGATTTTTTGGATTTTCTTATAAAGAATTGTATTTAAATATTTTCAGAGTTCTTTTTAAATTTTGATTTGTTTTTGCTGAATGTACTTTGACCCTATACTGCACATAATGAGATTTTATTATTTTTATGTGTGTGTGTCTTGTGTACATACATGCATATGTGCGAGAACAGATCAGATTAGATGGAGGGAAGGAAACAGATTTCAGTTTTCCAGGACAATTGTGTTTGAAATGTGAAAACATTTTTGCTCAGTTCCCTTCAAATTAATATACATTATATATAACTTGTGCTTCTGATGTTTCTGGAAGCATAATATTCCTTTTCTGTCTTTTTGACCCCCTTTTGGGGGGTGTAAAGGGATATCTGTTATATTATTTTGGATAGTTTGAGTGGTCTGAAAGTACTGACTCTGAAGAACTCTCATGGTAAGAGACATCATCAAGGTCAGAAGGTGTAAAATCTGACAAATTGATTGTAGCATGGAAAAAAAATATTTTTCTGAATGATAAAAAAAAAACTAAAGCTTCTTTGCTGAAAATGTGATACTTCTAAAGTGAAACCATGAATCTATAACAGTTGCTCAAAAGATGTATCATGTAGATTTTAAAGGTGAATGCAATTTTCAAGACAAACAAAAATTAACTCCAAAGTAAAATTTTAGTATTCCTTCCTATTCATATTAATGAAAGGTTGAAATAAGTAAAAAGCTTTTCTTTTGTATGGTTAATTATTAGTCACACAGCTTATTCAGTCTCTGTTCACCTTCAAATTTCAGTAGATGCTAACATGCTGATAGATAGCAGCATATTAGCCACAGCTGTTGGGTTTTTGCCTACATTATTTCGTATTCTACTTGGTTTTTCTCTGTCCTTGTTAAAAGAATTGTCGTTATTAATCAAGATATTTTATACAGATAACTAGTTGACCTTTTCTCTCTGACTAAAATAATTGGAATGGTAGCGAATGCGAAAATTTGATCTTCGGCTTGAAAATATTGACCTGGGGGAGGGGTAAAAGTGACAATGACCTTGAGGTTCTCAAGATTCAGAGTATGTCGGCGGGAGAACCAACAACAAACAGTGGGCCAAGTTGTGACACTTTTGAACATTTTTGTAACTTTGTCGCTTATAACGTTCGTTTCACAAAATGCAAACGGTATATATCATTTTAAAGAGGCTTTATTACTGAATTCAATATAAAACCAAATTCAATTATTTCAATAAAAAAAAGTTACACGATCAGAGTTATAGATATAATTAGATTAGTGATGATTGCATGAGTTATCAGTACTTCGTAAGTGGTACCATTTATTTTTGATTAAGCTTCACTCGAATTTCATTTGAGCGACAAGAGTTTTAAGCTCGTCTTCATTATTACATGATGCCAGGAAACAATTATAGCCTCAATTATACCTTTTATTGAGGGGCGCCTCATCGGACAAGATTTTTCAAATGGGCACAAGTTTCGATAGGAGTGAGGCAGGACTGGCCTGGACAAACAACAATTAATGGTTTTGTAGAACCACTTTTCGATTCTTTTGCTTCGAATCTGCTAAAAAATAACGAAGCATTGTTGGGAAGAGATCTCTGATAGAAGTGAAGTTTGGTATAGAATAGGTCACTGTATTTTCTGGCATCAGGGTCAATCGATGACATGAAGGCGACCAATACATCTGCTGATATGCATGACCAAATCATAACACAAATGGTTATACAGTTGCTTGAAGCAGTCAGGAGGTAGCTTGTCCCTATCTATATTCGCAATAATAAAATTAAATAATGTTGCGAGGTTAATGTCAGGATCAACGATGATCTATGGGAATATGTTTGGTTGAGATGTGTGCCAACAACAGAACGCAGCGGGCCAAATACTGGATCTTACAAATGGATGCAAAATGTTTTTTTTTTCTTTAATAACAAGGTGATTAGTGCAAAGTTGAAATAAAGAATTAGGCCCAAGATGTTTTTTATGGGAAGGGGAGGGAAAATGAAAGCGCTTGCATAAACCTCGGGAGAAACGTTGTTGGTGGTTTTGAGGGTTCAAATTAGTTATTCGGATTAAATGGAATCCAGGTTCGGGATTGAACGTATCAACTGCCTTGAAAGAGGTCAAAGGCTGTTTTTTGTTTTTCAAGCTCTGAATGTGTTATGGTTATGCCGTTTGGTATCATAATAAAAAGGAACTTTTATTAAAATTATATTATTATTATATATATAGATTATATTGTTCTTACACTATGTGTATGTGTATGCCATGAGTAAAAGGGGTTATTCGTATTGTGTATATGCACATTTATTTAAAAAGTGCTATCGTATTAGTAATTTAAATTTTATAACAAAAAATTTTTCTTTTTTCATGAGTATAAATAAGGTAACAGAATTCATAGTCAACTTTAAGGGTTATATAACATGACCGAAATAACAATTTTCATAGTACAATGTGTGGTGTAATGTGCAATGTAAATATGGAAACACAGTAAGTATTATACATACATTAGCCTGCCTTGCCTAAGATATATGCATGGATTAGTGGGACAATTTGACACTAATAAGAGACAACCTACTGCCTTCCCTAACTGGTATCAGTAGTTACTGGCATTGCCAACAAATATCTGTATTAATAATTAATGTGTGCAACTTTACAGGAAAAACAGAAGATACAGTTTGCTTTTAGCAATAATAATATAAAATATCTGTGAACTTTACAGAGCATATACAATAAAATTACACAAAGTGAACAACTTATTCATCATTCAGTTAGCTGCTTAATAAAAATGACATTAAATAAAGAAACTAAGCTCTACAGAAATAAACCTATAATAATTAAGTCATTTACATGTGCATGCAAGATAAATTGCACATTAGATAATTTGAATAATGTTGCAGTCATGAGTCTGCGTACAGGATAATAACATCAAGATACATAATATTTATTTTCATATTTTGTTATACTTTTATAATTTTAATAAGTCCTAGTTTTGTTGTTGGAAAGTAATCTGTTAAGACCTTTTTTTCTTCTCAACATAGGTAAATGAATTAACCAGTTATTTTTCAGACTGGAACAAGTGCCAGCATGGTCCGCATCTTCAGTCATTCCACAGTGGCTTATGCGATTTTTACTTCTAAAGTGGCTTTAATAGTTGGGAAAGTATTTTCACCCAACTTTATAAACCATGCAGTTAAAAAATTCTCATCGGCATCAAAAGGTACAATTCTGTTTTAGGTGATTATAAGAATTCTGTTGTCATTCCTTTCTTTCCATCAATGTGCTGTAAAATTGCACGTATTTTGCAGAAATTTAACTTTCGGGTTTTTTTCTCTCTCCTATCAATAAAATTTTAAGGATTCCATTCTGGATATGAATTCCTGGGGTGTTTACAGGATTCCTTGCCAGTGTGGTTTAATTTACATTGGTCAAACAAAAAGAGCCTTAAAATTTTGTGTTAAAGAATATGAGGCATATGTTAGGAAAAAGGAAACCCAGCAATCTGCTGTTGCTCAGCATTGTTGGAATGAAAATCACACTTTTCCATTTTTCTACAGCCGAAATTATTCAGAAAATATCCTCCATTGTTGAATTAAATTTTTTAGAAGCATTTCACATCTCCACCCCCCAAAAATTTTTCCACAATTGTTAATGACTACAATTGCAATCCATCTTACTTCTGTCCAACTTTTCTTATCTTATCTCTATCCTTATTTTATCTTTCTTCCCCCTTTAATTGGTTCATTTGCAGCTGAAGAAGGTAGTTCAAAAACAATCAAAACTAGCACTGCAAAAAAAAAAAAAAAAAATTTAAAATTTACGTTGATTCTTAATGTTGGACTTTGTTTTTGATTGTTATTTAGCATGATATTTAAACTAAATTAACAATATTACTTGGAAACTTAGGTATTTAAAAATTATTCCTTCCGAAATTATATACACTGGTAAAATAAATTAAGATAATTTACATATTTTATCGAATTGCATGAAAAGAACTGAACTGAAGTGTAAAACCACTCTCTAGATAAAAATTCAAATCTTGTATGGCAAATACGTAAGCGAACACGTGTGTAGGCAAAGCCAGTAGAAAAACAGACTTTATAAGCACATGGAGGGTAAGACAAATTGCGATAGCTAGCACACCTCGGCAAATTTCTTGGTGTTATCTTGCAGCAATCAGTTAAATTCACATTGTAACAATAAAAATAAATAACCACCAACGTTTAGATGATGGAATGAGGTGGCGAATTATGGGGAGGCTAGAGGCAGGCCTATGGCAAATCCAGATATGCAGAGAGTTTAATTTAACTCCCAGCGTCGTGTGTAACCCATGGAAACAGTTCCAGGATACTGGATCCATCAAGAGAAAGCTTTTGCAAAGTCATCCAAGAGTATCGACGGCCAGAGAAAATTGCTATTTGTCCATTTTAGCGAGGGCTACAGCTTCTCACGGGACCTGTATGCGGCAACAGGAACCTGTGTAACAAGGGTGACTGTTTCCAAAAGATTGAATAAGAGAGGGTTGTTTGCCAGAAGAGTTAGCGTCCCGCTCACGTCTACGGACAGGAGACTTGTTGTTTGACTTCTGAATTAGTAAGAGAGGGTTGTTTGCCAGAAGAGTTAGCGTCCTGCTCACGTCTACGGACAGGAGAGTCCGATTAGCATGGTGCAGGCGGCATAGTGATTGGAGTACGGAGCAATGGGCGATTGTTCTGTTCGACGACGATTACCGTTTTAGCTTAAACACTTATTCTTGCTGTACTTTCATATGGAGAGAGCCAGGGACCTGCCACCTACCCTCAAATGTCCGCGAAATCAACAATTATGGTGGTGCGGTGTAATAGTCTGGGTAGGCATTGTTGTATGGCCGCACACCTCTCCATGCTTTTGACAGAAGCTCTGTGACTGGTGTGAAGTATAGATATGAGGTCTTGGAGCCCTTTGTTTGCCTTTTCCAGGATGCAGTGGGTCCCGAGTTCATCTTACAGGATGATAACGCAAGGCCACGTAGAGCTCCTCTGGTCAACGAATTTCTCGAGAGTGAAGATATTTGCAGGATGGATTGGTCAACCAGATCTCTAGACCTGAACCTTATAGAGCATGTCTGGGACGCTCTGGGGAGGGCTCTGAGAGCCGTTCAGGAACTGAAAACAGCATTGCTGAATGAGTGGGACCAATTGCCACGGCACTGATAAACTGCCATATTTGCAGTATGACATCATGCTGCGAGGCCTGTATGGCTGTAAGAGAGGACCATACCCCCTATTAACTCATTTCTTTTGTGTCTTCTGCAACCGCTGTTTCAGACTCCCTCGAGTGTTACACACGAACGTGTGTGTCTATTATAACTGTTGAATTTTATTTTGTTTGTATTATATAAACCTATGTTCATACCAAATTTTATTAAAATCTGTCTAGTAGTTATGAAGATCGTAGATCAAATATGAAAATTCTCTTAATTTCTTACACCAGTATAGTTAAATGTTTAAGCTATAAATACTTTATTGCTTGCCTCGTTTAGTCATTTATATTAGTATACATTATGATTAAATGAAACAAGCAGTAAATTATTTATAACTTATTTAGCTTGCTAACTTATTATTTACTATGTATATATAGTAAAGAATAATTGAATTAATATTCTCCCTGCAACTATAAGTGATGCACTGAGCAGTTGTATAATTTTAACTGCATGAACTCTTCCCCCCCTTGGTATTTTGTATGTATTCTGAAATTATATTTTTCTTCACTTAGGGATCAGAAAAAAAAGTGTTATTGGAAGACAAGCTTCATATACAGCTAAAAAATCTGTGGATGGATATAACATGTACCATTGCTGTTTTTGTGGATATTTTTCCAAATATAAAACAAATATTCGTCATCATGTTTTCATTCATACTGGAGAAAGACCATATCAGTGCAGAATATGTGGTCAGAAGTTCAGACGAAATGAACATTTAAAATGTCATAGTTTTAGTAAACACAGAGGAATAGCTGAAACTCAAAATCTGTATTATTTTTAATAAATAACTTAATATGAATATTTCTTTTGTATCTTGCCAAAGGTTGTTTATATTTTGCTAACTTTATTTATTAGTTAATGCTACTATGTAATAAGATAGAACAATAGACTATATGTGTATGAAGTGTTTTTGTTGTGTGTGTATTATAAGTGTATGTGATGAGTGAAAAGGGTTATTCATATTATATCACATGTATATTTGTTTGTACATGTTTTTATATTTTTAACTCTCAGAAAAATTATTACCATTTCTTTTTTCGAGTAAATGTAACATGTACGTTAGCTGAAATACACATTTTTGTATCTTGAAATCTGATAGAAACATTCGTAACATTTTGTGTATACATGCATGTATGTATACACATAAAATGTTAAGAATATGTATTATGTATATATATATATATGTGAATGTATATATATAATGAAGAAAGAAAAATATGCACAAAAGTTCCGGACATGTGCAGCAATCATTTCTTGATGCTAACTGAGTTTGTGTATAATTTTCAATTCTTTAAAAATTTTTAGTTAATAGCTGTCTTTTTTACACTCAGAGCTTGTCAGTGTTGGGCAAATAATGTGTAATTCAATTTAAAATTTTCTAGGTTTTCAATTTCCCTAACTAAATTTGTTCATTGGTTAGCTGAAAAACAGACTATCATCATGAGAAATGTAAATTACTTCTTTATGATTTTTATGGTACTTTGATTCTTTGAATTTTTGTAAAAGATTTCTAATTTTATATATTCTTCTCAGTTTCATGCAATAGTTTTGTTGACTGTTTTGTTCTACTTTGTTGTTTTGCTGAATATAAATTAAAATGTAGTATTTTCCATATTTTATATATAAAATTATATATATATTGTATATATATGCATGCACAGAAATGGTTCATATAATGACCTGTTTTGTCCTAAAAAAAAAGAGATAGTGTAAGGAGTAATCACCATAATGAGAATGAATTCAGTTTACTTTCATTATTTGGATATGTTTTGCATTACTTTTGGTAGTGGCAGGTTTCTGTAGCAAGCATGGGCAACATGTGTAAATGTATATATATATATACATTGGCAAAAAGTAAGAAATTTAGAACCCAATTACACAAAGACAAAAAAAGTGAAATTTAATACCAATAAATTTCATAGAAACAAATGTGATTCCAATGGGAAGTTCATATTCAACTTATCTATGTAACCTATATTTGTTTTCAAAGAATTAAATTTTTTAGAAAACCTTTCTGATATTGATTTCAATAATTTTGAACATGCTTTCAGATATATTGATAACATTATCACATTCAACAATAATAATATTATTAAAAATGGCAGCATCTACTCCAACTGTCTAAAACATAATAAAAACAATAAAAATCAATTAGAAACAGACTATTTTTATCTTAGCATTCATAATCTTAAAGAAATAAAACTTTTTGATAAAAGAGAATTTTAACTTTTCTACAATAAAACTTATGAATTTGTACTCTAACATCTCTAAAAAAGTTATAGCAAATACAGTTATTAATCATATTAACAGGATTATAAAAGTTTGCACTGAAATAGAACAACAATAACGAAATTGTAATTCTCATCAAAATGTTTAAAAAAAGGAAATACCAATTAGCCTCACTAACATTCTTTTAAAAAATCTGAAGTCTACAGCCTATAAAATTTTTTAAAAGTATGAATTTTTTTTCAGCAGCTCAAATAGAGAAGGATGTTTGAGAATGTTTTATAGTTTTTATTTTTATTTAGTTTTTTTAATTTTTTTCTTGTTGAGCTGTTAATAACATAGGGCCTACTATATTCCAGTCTTCAAGATAAACAAAAGCTCATGATGTGAAGACTTAAAATTTGTATCTTTTCTTATTTTTCTCTATACTTCCTTTTATATAAAAATTTTAAAAATATTTTACAGCATTAAATTTACCTTTAAGGAGATTTCTAACTTAACTTCAATAATTTGTTTCGCCATAGAAGCCAAACTGGTAACCCCTGGTGTCAGTTTTGAATTGGTGAACAGTCGTCTGTTCGTTATTTCAAAATTTATAGTTTGATTACGGTGTTCTTCCTTCATTTCTAGTGGATTCTATTTCTACATTTACTTTATTCAATTTAATCTTACGTAGCACAAAAAATTGCTTAACTTTTTACTTTATTCCAATTAAAGATTTTCTTCAGTTGGATGTGTTTACTATTTTTTCACTACTGGATTACTACTTCGTCCTCTGAGTAAGTGTTAATTATATGTTCTCGGTTTATTTTTGTTATTTTTTATTTCAATTTTAAATTCAGTGAAAAAGTCTAATTTTATTTTTTTACTTGACATTGAATTTTTCCTTCTGTCTAGGAGGACTTCAAAACTTTCGGATGAACTGTTATAGTTAGAAAACTTTAAAATAATTCATCAGCTGATTCTGAATACAGAAATACAAGGCTTTTTAAGTGGAAGGGGAATTATAATTGAGTCTTATGTATCCTCCTCCTGATAATGTTAAATCAGATTTAGTTTAATTCTATTAATGGTACAGTTAGATTGTAATTTAAGTAAAAATAATGTGAAAAGCAGAAATTAGTGAAAGCAAAAAACTCATCAATCTATGTTCTATAAATATTATCGTTTTGCAGGGCAAATCACAAACTTATGTTGAAGTGGAAATAAATAGTTTTCTTGCTGCATGATCTTAGACATTGCTGCTTCCATAACTATTTTGAAGATAGAATTAGTTCAACTATGGACAGATACTTCCTGTATTCGGTTATGTGTTTTATTCTGCAAACTGTGAATGGAGAGAAGATGTAAGTGCATGGGAAAATAAATGTACACCTGGGTATATTATTGGAATAACAGATCTGTGCATCCTCAGACTTGGCTTTCTAAGATTTTGTTTAGATGTCAAAAATAACACAGTACATTTCTCCACTGATTTCAGTGCTTTGAGTGGATGACAATGGTGTGTGCTTCTATAGGATAATTGCTTATGGCAGTATGACTATTTCCCCAAAACATAATGCATTGTTAGCTGTACATTGTAAGCTCTCAAGAAGCTGTACAGAAGAATTACTGATTTTCCTAGATAATGTGTGTGAGTGTGATTATGGCAAAGCCTTGAGGGCTATATGCCAAAGGGGAGGGATGCCTTCGTGGAGGACTTTCTAAGGGAAACTGGCTCGTATGCACGATTTTCCTAGATAAAATGTACATTCTAATAGACTTAATTGCGGCTGTTATACTGCACTTAACAAAAGAAAATATGTGGATGAGAGTTACGTAAGTGACAGGCCTCGTACATTTACAAAAAGATAATTGCTTCATGTTTCCCTACAGCAAGGATTGTGTGAAGTGCCATCAGTCAGAAGCAGACTGCAGTACTGTTGCATTGTAATGTGTTAAGTATTAACGTCACTTTTGTTGCTTTCTTAAAAATAATTTTTTTTTAATGTTCTGTTTACATTGGTATATTCTCAGATATTTTATCTTTTTCAGTTTTCTTCTTATTTCTTATAGTTTCTCTAATGAGGCATATTTACAGCAGATCTGGTTGAAGTGTTACTCAGTTTTAGGAACTATATTGTTTCTTACATGTTATTATTTTTTTTTCATTTGTTGCATGACAGTTATGAAGTAAAATTATCTTGAAGGATATTTAATTATCTTGGTGTAATAGATATAGGCTCTATATTAATCAGTTCTTTTGGAGGCAGAAATATATTTATAATTCTTTTACATTAATATATCATAATAAAAGAGTCAACAGATAATTTACAAAGAAGCATGTATTTTAATAGTACAGAACAGCAGTTGCTGAATTACTTCAGTATTTGATATAGTTTTTAAATATCAGATTCTTCATTCTAAAAAAATTATTATGAAGTTTACAGATAACTCGTTTGCTGTGTGCTTGGATACATTGTTCTAAAGGCTTTTTATGACTCAAAGTGTGCATTTACTGTCAACATAATTAGACTGCTATTTTCTGAAACACATAGTTTAAAAAAGAGCTGCATTTATTTCATTTATATTAGTGACTATATTCTCTCACCCAGTATATGACAAACTAATGTCTGTTAATTAAAAAAAATATCTGCATGATCATTAGGCATTAAATTTTGGATTCCTGAAATGATGTGTCTATTGAACTTTGCCGCCATATTGAATGAATTGTTTGATCACTGCAAGTGAATAAGTTAAATATAGAGCCTATATACTTAATATTGCAGTTATTCATTCTCCCAAGTTTGGTATGGGTAAGAGCTTTTCTGAAAATTATGTCCTGAAATTTTTTCTTAATCTAAATTTGGTATTTTGAATGTAAATGACTTTAAAATTCATTAAATCAAAACTTTTAAGTGATAAGTAAATTTCCCTTATTTATGTTGAGTTAATAAGCTCTGCATACTGTAATTTTATGTAAGACTGTTGATTAGAAATATTTATACTTACATAAAATAATAGAATTTTTTTTTATTAATTGAATGATACATATGAATTCATGCATATTTTAAACCGTTCATTTATGTAAGTAGAAAATTGAAGTTTTTATTTTCTTTTAAATTTAAATATTCTATACAGTTATATGCATTATTTTAATGATTTTTTAAAGATTTATAGATATGTGTAATTAAACTGATCTAAAGAAAATGTATTTTATATTCTGTGATGTGTATTTCCCCTTTCTTTTCTAGGCATAATTAATGGCATGGCTACATCCCAAGTAATCTTTAGAAGTGAAAAGCCTACATTGGGATTTAACTTGCATCACTGCCCAGTTTGTAAATACACTTCAAGTTATATAGCCAATATGCGTCGCCATATGTTAATTCACACTGGAGAGAGACCATATGAATGTCGAATATGTAGTAAAAAATTTAGGCAGAAAGAGCATTTGAAAAGTCATATTGTGATAAAACACAATTTGAATTATATACCGGGATCGGAGAAACTCATGTTTCTAAATTATTTTTTATATAACATATGGATATTGTTTTGCATTAATGATCATATTGTTAAAATGTTGAAGTTTTGTTATTATGAAATCTAAAAGAAAATAGTGTAAGGAATAATGTTAATATTAATTTTGATAAAATCATTTGCATAAAGTTTTTCTTTTACTACTCTGAATGACTATAGAGTAGTAAAAGAAAAACATTAGTATTTTATCGTTCTTTTTGATTTAAATTTTGTAATAAATATAGTCATAGTTTATTGCCCATTTAAAAAACTTTGGAACTGGCAAATTCTGAATATTTTAAACTGACAAACTCTCATTACCATTGCTGTGTAATACTAAATCAAACAAAAAATGCTATCATAGCCTAAAACAAGATGCTATAGCACAAAATTTAGGTAGTGTTAAATGCAAGGTGTGGCTATTAATTCCCAGGACTGCTCTAATAACACCAGAATAAATGACGTGAGAAACATAACCTTTTAATATGTTTCAAAGTAATCCCCATCTGCCGTAATACACTTCTGTGCTCGGCTGTAAAAGCTGTGGAAACAACTTTTAAAGTCCTCTTTCAGAAGGCTCTTCAATGTCGACGTCACATTCTTCTTGATGTCTTCAACATCCTCAAATTGCCAGTGAAGAGGTTTTTGGCCAAGCATGAGATCTTTGAGCTGCACCCTCCGCCATACTCTCCTGACTCGGCCCCCGCAGACTTTTTGTTTCCCAAACTCAAAACTGTGATCAAAAGAACACGCTTTGTGGGTGTTGAAGACATCAAGAAGAATGTGATGTTGACATTGAAGAGCCTTCCGGAAGAAGACTTTAAAAGTTGTTTCCACAACTTAAACAGCCTAACACAGTGTATTACGCAGATGTAGATTACTTCAAAACATATTAAAAGGTTACGTTTTTCACATCACCTGTTCTGGTGTTATTAGAGCAATCCTGGAAATTAATAGCCACACCTTGTATATTGCTTTGACTTGTATATAACCAGAATTCTTATTTGCTAATAATATCAGATAAATTACTTGCACTTCATGGGAAACCAAAATGCAAGGAAAGTTGCAAGCAGTGTACATCCACTGAGTATATATTCTGTAAGTTTTTTTAATAAGAAATCTCAGTCAGTATAAATAATTTATTTTTCAGTGTAAATTTGACTCCTGATTATTAAAAATTTTTGATACTGATAAAATATGCTGTCATCTGTCCATAATTTTCCTTTGTAATTCCCTCAAAGTTGAAGCAAAATGTAAAAATTAAGATATTTTACGGCTAGACTGCATACA